AGATATAAGTTTAAATTTAAGATTTAAATATAAAATAAATATCAATTTTTTTATTTATACATTTTATATAGATTTAGATATAAATCAAAGATTCATAGAAGGTAGAAATTGATAAATATAAAGATAAGTATCGATATAATATGGATTAAATATTTATATGTAGCATTCCCCACTAAATGTGAGGCGACTGCACTCAATTTTATTTTCTTTTGAACATTTACATTTGACACCCCATACAGAAGTGTAGCATTTCATTTAGCTCTCTTTGATCAGACCCTCTTGTCTTTTTGTGTTAATTTGTTGCACAGGGAAGTATTATATAGCCACCATGACCATGGTCACAGCCTCCACAGCTCTCACCATCTTCATCATGAACATCCACTTCTGTGGCGCAGAGGCCAAACCGGTTCCACACTGGGCCAAAGTGCTCATCATCGACTACATGTCCAAGATTTTCTTTGTGTATGAAGTGGGAGAGAACTGTGCTTCTGGTTCTTCTTCTTCTTCTTCTTCCAGCTTCCTCCAGGAGGATGCCGTTCACCAAAAAGCCAACTCCCATGTTCATGTGAATGGAAAACCCAGAGGCCACAGCAGCCAAGAGCACCATCAGAACCACAAACAACACAGAGTGAARGTCCACCACCACATCACAAGAGAGGAGAGCAGCCAGCTGAACAGCTTTGCACCTGGAAACTATGAAGYCTCTAATGGGAGAATCCCACTGAGTGACTTCTGCTCAGAAGATCAGAAAGTTCATCCCGTGGACCAGACGCCTTTTTGCTGCTCCGAGGACACGAAACCCCCACCTCAGGGCCCCACCGTAACCTTTGGCCCCTGCGTATTCTGTAGCTTTGTCAGTGGAATTCCAAACGTGGACACAAAACTGGTACGCAACGTGGAGTATATTGCTAACTGTTTCCGCGAGCAAAGGGCCACGTGTGCCAAGGGGGCTGAATGGAAGAAGATAGCCAAGGTGATGGACAGATTCTTCATGTGGATTTTCTTCGTCATGGTTTTCCTCATGAGCATTCTCGTCATTGGCAAGGCTAAGTGAGCAAAAAGTAAGGCTGCACATATTTTTCATCTAGAACAGTGATTTTGATCAAATACAAAACATCAAAAAGACAAATGTATTTTATAAACATATGTGGTTGTAAACATATATGAGCATTGTGGCTTTTCTTCGTTAATCACGGTGCTTTGTTGATAAGTATGGATAGAAAATAAAAAATGGCATTTGTTTTGCCATATTTAAAGCTTTGTTTTGTTTACTACATTTGTATYAAAAGGATGGTTAAGGTGTCCAAGTTGTTAGCTCACAAATCCAGCCAGAACTAAACCCAGTTTTTGCAAAGAGAGTTCATTCAAGAAGCTTTCTACAGCAGGTAAGATATTAACTACATATACAACCCATAATTTACTGATCCTGTGTTCAGTTAGTCATGGTTTTGATAAGTTGGTACTGTACTGTCTGACCACTGAATAAATTTGAGGGGTTCCACTGTTAAAATATAGCCAGTGGAGATGGCGCATGCCTTATTCACAAGTGTGAAATCAGATGCCGGCGGGCTGAGAGGCACAGTGTCAGTGTGCACAGCGGAGCCACCGAATCATTTTTCTGTTCAAATCATCCGGTGAATAGTTAATGAGCCAGCTTTGTTTGTTGCACAGCGAGAGCGTAAGTTAATAGTGAGCATCAATTATGCAAGGAAAGTGCACACAATTACACCCCCACCTATTTTTTTTTAATAATACCCCACACTTACCTTGGACTCTGAAAGCCTAAAAGATGATCCTGAATGTGTATAGACACATGAATGAAAGGTTGAAATAAAAGACAAGTGTCCTGAGGACAAATGGAAGAATAAAACAATACAAAGATAAAGAATACAAAAGTTGTTCATAAACAAGATTGTTTGTTTTGTGGTACTTTCACCTCACTTTATCACACTAAGATGCTCAGTAATTTAGACATTTTTGCTGTTGCATTCTCAAAAAGGTGTACCCAACAACACACCCCAAAAAAGTCACTCAACAGACTGGAAAAACAAACAAACAAAAACCCATCATATTACATTAAATGCAAGGAATTTTGTAGCTATTTTTTGTAGAATAACTGAAATACCATAATCTTACAGTAGAGGGCGCTCATTTCCCATACATGATTTTGCCCCAAGCTTTATGTGCAACCCATAAGAGCAAAAAATTTGCACTTTAAAGTTGCTCTAAGTGCCTTTTTATCTTCCAAAGTGATCCATTCATGACATTTCATTACCAAGAGAAGACTAAAGATGTTGACTGTCTATTCCTTCAGTCCTTCAGGAGGTTATTCTACAGCAAGACCCATCTCACTCAGTGCTCAATACTTCAATAATTAAATATAAAAAGCTATTACTGAAAGTGAGTTAGGCTGTAAAAAAAGGCTCGAGAAACTGGAAGAATGTCTTTTAATTGTGCAGCAGAGTTTCTCCACTGTGGATTCCTCTCTGCAGTAATCTGGCTGAAATGGGGGAGAAGCTGTTTGTCTCCTTATCCCGCCTCTCCAAGGCAATTGCCATGCTGTAGCATGAGTGGTGGGAACCATGTGATCTGACCAGGYCAAAGCTTGGGCTTTAAAAGACAGACTGCCATGGAAATTACCAAGTGCTACAAAATCACAGAGCTTCGTTGTCGATTATTATTCCGGTTCAAAACACACAAAAGGCCAGCATCACCGTGAAGATGCAGATTTCTTTTTATTCACCAGATATACAGTTTTAGTTAGAGTGTAGGGAGGAGTAAAGACATTTATATAGGATTATTTTGTAAAATAATGTTAGTCTTTAAAATAGAAGATCAGCATAATTTCAGACACTTAATTTTTCTTCATCTGTTTACTCACTTTTTTAATGTGATGGAAACAAAATGTGATGGACAGGAGACCTGTTGGTGCCTCCTGCTGCTGAAGACTCCCACCAACCCTAAACAGGAACAAGCAGATAAAGACAGTCAATAGATGGAAATAAAGCAACTTTAAATGCTGAGCTTGGTATTTGAAAATTATTTTCTATTTCCTTAGCAAGCACGATCTTAAACCATAAAGCCCAGGACATTTTTTTTAATCACCTCTTGAAAAAAACTAAAATAAAACTTCTAATTTGCAAATACAAACCTGTAAAACCAGAGCTTTGGGCTGTTTGAATCAGAGACCCCGCGAGAGCTTTGAAGCATCCTTTTACATGGCCGAAGCATAAATAGTCTTTTCAGCTGATTCACAGCTATAATTTAAAGCATAATCATGTGTTTATAAAACTAAACACAGGTGTTACTGAGCGTGTTTCACACTGCAGCACTAGCAAATTTGATGCAAATGAATCAGACAAATAGAGAGTTGCTGCTCTGGTCTAGTTGTCTTCAAATTGCAGGACTCCTAAACAGGTAAATTTCATATTTTTATTACTATATGTACGTGAGCATGTGTGCTTCTAAAGCACAGTATGGGGTGCACTAAAATCTTCCTATAAAATATGACCCTTTTAGATTAAAGTGTATTGAATTTTACCATTGTCAGTTTTTAAACTTAAGCTAATTGAATGTCTGGAAATGTATTTCCCCACAATGCACCATCTATTAAATAAATTGTGTGATGTTGCATTTTTTATGAGAATAATTTAGTTCTAGTTTTTCATGAGCTCACAGCAGCCCCAGTATCTTTCTTTCATTTCTTTTTACAGTATTAGATTTACCTGCGGTCCATTTTCTTAGTTTGCCTTAAAGTATGAAATCAAACATTCCTAAAAACAGATTATCCTGAACTAGTGCCAGTTTGTGCAGTTTAGAAAAACAAATCCTTGTGCTACTTTGACAGTTCCTAAATGTTTGTTCGGTTTCAAGTTTGATTTGTTTTGATTACATTTAAAATGTAATTTGTTTCGCAGGTGATGTTTGTTGTTTTACAGATTTGATGGCGTGTTAACCGATCTTTCCTGCCCACAGYCATCACCATCTGCAATAACTTTATTTAAATGAGTTAMAACATCGAATTKCCCTCTGGGATCAATAAAGTATTTTTAAATTGAATTGAACACAGGTGCTTGGGTTTACTAACAAACAAATCTGATTGGTTTCACTGACAGAAAAAAAGGACAGAGCTTGGGTGAAAACAAGCAAAAATGAAATAAAAGTAACAACTTTCTACTTCTTGCCTTTTTTTTAAAAAAATGTAAGGAGTAGAAAGTACAGATAATTGTGTGAAACTGTATGAAKTAGAAGAAAAAAGTAGGCTGAAACATAATTACTCAAGTAAAGTACAGATACCCAAAAATTCTACTTAAGTTCAGTAACGAAGTATTTGTACTTAGTTACTTTACAAGCCTGGTCCTCAAGGCACGCTGCCCTGCATGTTTTAGAGGTCACCCTGCTTTGACACACCTGATTCATCCTGGACAAAAGATTCTACATCCTTGTCAGGAGAGGACGACAAATAAGTGCTCTAGTTTTGGGTGGGCGGTGAAAAGGACTGTAGAAGAGGTTGGTCTTCAAGAATTTACATCAAGTTTGACAGTTCCTATTGCTGCTATTGCTCCTTGGTGTTATAACGAAGCAAGTGCAGATTTAAATCTGTTAAAATGTCAATCTTACATTAGTAATGTTGTTGAGGGTTATATCAGAAAAYATTATTCAGAGTACATGGCTGTACATTCAGATGYATCTAGAACTAGTGATAATAAAGTTGGTATTGCRTTTGTGATACCAAATTTGGGCATTATAAAAAAYAATAGGACTAATGATAACTTAGCAGTTTATACAGGTGAACTTTTAGCTATTCTTATTGCATTAACCTGGATTGAGGGAAATGGTTTAGAAAAAGTGTTAATAGTTTCTGATTCCCGCAGTGCATTAACAAGCATTCAGAACAAGAAGTCAGAGTCAAGACGGGATATTATTTATGAAATTCAACAAACATTATATAGATTATTCCAAATTAGAAGGGAAATTGTGTTTTTATGGGTTTCATCTCACATAGKGGTTGAAGGAAATGAGTTAGCAGACCAATATGCAAAGAAAGGGGCATCGAAACAAATTGTTCTGGTGAACTGCTAGGTAACCACTCCCCTCTGTCACTCCCCTGCACCTTTCTGCAGCTCCTTCTGCCTGTTAGTGAGGAGAACCAGGTGGACTCAATCTTCAATCTCCTAGCAATCAGAGTGCAGCTACTTTTGGTGTGACTGACCTGTCAGTCCTGGTTTGAGAGCATGAGATGCAAACAGTGCTGTGTAAAAGTTTCAACAAGCTGTGAAGGACAGCCGGTAAGGCAAAATGCTGCTGCTCATTGCTGAGTTGTTGTTAAGTTGTTTAGTCTTGTTGAGGTCAAGTTAGCAACTAATGAACTAACTAACTAACTAACTAACTAACTAACTAACTAACTAAC